TCCATCCACAAAAAAAGAAGAAACTTCTAAAGAAGAAGTCCAGCCACAAACACCATGACCTCATGTTGACTACCAGTCTGCTATCCTACCTCTCTGTCAGTCGATAAAGAAAATACTTGATAACTCTTAAAGAGTTCCATTTTAGGATAAGTTTACTAACTTAATTCCAATTTAATGGATATTCTTGAAGGTCATGCCAGAGAAATATTTCCCAGGCAAGAATTCTCTTAATTGTAGCTACGATCAATCAACATTCATCATATTATCAGACACTAATTGTCTACGTTGAAAATTTATTTCTAATATTGTGGCACTGTGTAAACAGTTTGGAAATTGTCCATACTGTCTAGTCTAGAAATTGTACATACTGTCTACCCTAGAAGTTTTACATACTGTCTAATCTAGAAATTGTACGTACTGTCTAATCCAGAAATTGTTCAAACTGTATAGTTTGAAGTATACAGTTAAATTAAGTTTACCATTGTACATACTGACTTGTTTTCCCACTGAACACTTCCCTATGTACAAGCTGTGAATAGTTTACTAGTGTACCTTACTGACAGAGTTGCTCAAACTCTAAATACATTTTTACTTTATAAGTAATATTTTTGTACATTTATATTTATTTTAATTACATTAATAAATGTTTACATTTTTCACACCTAATGTTTGCTGTCTTCCTAGTCATGAAGCAGGTTTTCGGGTGCATTTCTTGTAAAGTAATATATTAAAATATTAGAGTAATTGGCATTTTATGTGGCTTACGTTAACCGACTGTCTTTTAAGTAGGCTGAGGGACTGATTACCTCAAACTTCGTCTTCACATCTTCAACAGTTCCTCTCTGTATATAGGATTAATAAAGCCTCTGGTTGGCGAAACGTTTCTTAAATGTACGACGTTACGTTTGTTTCAGCGTTTACTGCCTGAATATCACATACGCTATGAGTGATATGACAAGATATATGATATGAGAAGAGTAAGATATATCGTCAAGCTGCACCAGATGATGGGCTGCAAAAGTTAACATAACATGGAAGCTTTTAGTACATCAAAAAATTTTACTCAAATATTATACATATACAAATGGCATTGTACATAAGGTTTAAACTAAAGGATGCTATAAACTGACAGAGTTTAAATATAAGAAACAATGGTGTAGTTCCTGACAAAAGTTATGAAGATTGCGGCGATGGAACAAAAAGGGGAGGCCTAACATTACTGGTACAGGAAATGCTGTAGGCTAAAAAAAAAAAATCAGAGTAAAGAAAAACAAAGTTTTATGTTGGCTTTTAGAAAACATTGAAGAAACTAATCAAAATCGATCTTATAAAGATATAAATACTGATAGCAGGGGAACTGAATAATAGACGTGTTCTTTTTGTGTGTAGTTACAAAACACTCACTTTCCCACATGTATTCATACACGCTTGTAAATCCACATACACATACCACCTAACATATGCAAAGACACCCATTAACATACATAAGCCAAGGAATCATATACACAGATACAAATCATATACAAATGCCCAGATACGTATGCTAGGCAGACACAGACAGGCATACTCGCAGACATACAGGCATGGGCAGTGTCACGTAAACTGATAACAGTAAAGAGTACCACAAGGTCACCAGTGCCAGGTGTACACTGTCGCGCTCAACTTGTTATATCGTGTTATCAGAAGCATCGTTTATATCGACTTGACTCACAACAGCCTCCCTGCCACACTTGTTTAAAGCTCATACTCCAGAAGAGTCACAACTCTTTTTATAAACAACAGGAGCATAAAAGCGAACACCGCGCATGCTTCTATCGGCGTACATACTAGGGAGTGGCTAGCTAACAAGGATATCGCTTGATAAAACGTTCCCAACAGTAATAATGAAGAACTAGGAATTCTGAATGATTTCTGTGAGCATATCACAATCAGAATTACGAGGTCACGAGATTTTCAGCCATATATTGCGGCTTATACTGATTAGATGTAGCACATCTTCCCTGGTCAAAGTATTACAATTCGTTTCTTACCTCTTCACAAAAAAATCAGATTGAGCAGATTTATCCCGGGCCTATGAACAGTGAAATATAAAGGTAGCACATGGATAGCAGCAAAGGACGAATATTTCCTACAAACTAAAGGATAAACTACAAGCATTCAACAGAGCCACTTGGGGGATGGGGGTTAATATCACGTCAAACCTATCGAGAGGCATACATAAGACGAAGAACTTCAACAACTTACACAGTGGAGAATAACATATCTGCGACACCTGGGTATCTTTATTAGGCGACAGTTTTGACTGCACAGCAGATTTCATCAATCAATGCTGGTATGGAAAATTTTATAGGGTGAATACCTTTATGTACCTCAACATTACATGCTTACAAGTAAACTCATTGGGAGACAACCATATTGTTTACTGTAGTCACCCCGTGTAGACATGTGAGAAAACTTAACCACCCCTGGTCACGGCAAGTGGTTCCTTCGACCTCACAATCTTATCCATATCTATCCGAGACCAGTATGGATTGGATAGCACCCACAAGTACAGTGCTACTAATTAATTGTGGACTGTATAGATTATATTAGTTTAACTGAATGAAAGGGGGGGGGGTAGGTTACACATGGATATATCCATCAAGGAAAAACACTTGTACATAATCTCACCACTTACCAGATATTCTCTGGTGGTGACTTGATGTAGCTGGATCATCCATAACCTATCCAATTACAACATACCTAACTGGCCAGTATCAGTCTGCTATAACTAGAAAGGTTACTTAACTGTGGGTGATTGATACTCCTTATTTCCTCCATTCACCATCTCATTTCGATGTCCTGCTACACCGACACGGTTCTTATTCCAGCAGGACGAGGTATCCGTTGGTTTGTCCCGGTTTAGAAGTCGTGATTCCATAAAACTTCACTATCCTCGGTACGAGAATCACGCGTTCACTCGGAGCAGGGCGATCTATTTCACATCCCGCATTCTCTTAACTTAATGTTATTATCACTGATTACATTACCATTCACAAGACGATTTAACGTCTCATAATTATTATACACATTAGAGGTCACTCCATTAAGATCTGAGGCCGATGAGTGAGGATTAACTCACGGGTATTTCCCCTGGACACACACCATGGCCGCGTACCCCTCACACCCAGTCGAACCATTATTCACTAATTTTACCACCTTTTTACGGTGGTCCCGTAAATCACGTTCCCTCACTCTTCACCAGGAACAGTTACGACACTTCCTATTATGAAGTGAGGCCCATATTAATCCTTAGGCCGCCGTGAACGCCAATTTCCTGATCCCAGGTTTTCACAGCCTCCTCACTACATTCAAAACACCGCCGCCCCTCGTGCCCCAGCTCGATCTATAACCCCCCCCCCGCACATCTGCGCAGGCGCAGCGGGAACCCAGTTGGTTCCATTCAAAATACAAATACATTTTGACCCAAATCAACACATTAAACACTTATTAGGCACCATAGCTTCGGAAATTAAATAATTTCCACAGCTGGCAAACCAGAGAAAAGCTTTAAAGAATCTGAACAAGGAGGCATTCGTGTTGTACACTACATATGTCATGCCAGTCTGAGAGTATGC